GCTGGACTTGTGGAGGACATTGCCATGGGATCCAGGCCCTCAGCTGGATTGTCTGGGTCTTAAGGGTATAGACAGATCTATGGCACTCTCCTGCATTTGACTTTTTGGGTATTATTAAATAATCCTATGAATTATATGTCCTGTATTAAACCTGTTCTCTTGCAAACCCTGACTACACTCCACACTACACACCTCCAGGAAGAAATCCTAGCACGTCTAGTCTACTTGTTGCCAAGGGGTTTTTTCAGGGCTCTGTGTGTGACATCTGTGGAGCTGATAAGTAAAAGATCTACTGGGGATGGGCACTTTCAGAAGAGCATCCCTGGGGAGAATGGAAGGTGGCCTTGAAGCGGTAGTCTCACTGGATGTTGTGAGGTTTTGGTTGAAATCTGCACCTGCTGGCTGTGCCTGTTTTGCTTTCCACTGATGTCGAGGCCAAATCCCAGAGGCAAGCAAATCAAGGAAATTCTCAGGAGAATGGACACTCGTGTGACATGAGGAATGTCTTGTGTAAACCAGGGTTGCAGGTTCTTTGCATGTGGCACTTTGGTACTGAGATGTTGGTTTTGGTTTTTATTGTCTTGAGACCGAGTGACCTCGGCAGAGCTGGGAGTAGGCTTCATAGGCTTTGTCCATTTATGACCCCTGTCTTCTGAGCCTGATATCTTCCTCTGAGTATATGTCTAGGCCTTTGAGAGCGTCTGCACCTGTAATGAGCCTTCCTAACAAAAGGGGCCATGCTGTGGTCCTGCAAACTGCATTTTCTCCCAGTCTCATTGTATACCTCAGTGAATAGCAGCCTTAATCTCTCTTCCCCTTATATTTAATTTGCTACCATCTTTGTGCCCCTCCCCGATTATATCCCTAATGTGTCCACTTATCACTCATCTTTTTTTTTTTTGAGATAGGGTCCTGCAGTGTAGCTCAGGTTGGTCTTGAACTATGTAGCCTGGACTGGCCTCACACTCACAACCAGCTCACCACTGTTAAGGTTGTGGTTCAGGGGCTGGGGATTTAGCTCAGCGGCATAAGCGCCTGCCTTGGAAGCAGGGAGTCGTGAGTTCGATCCCTGGTACCGGTACAAGGAAAAAGAAAAAAAAAAAAAAAAAAAAAAAAAAAAGGTTGTGGTTCAGTCTGGGATCATTTCAAATAGTTTACCTCAAAAGCTCTCCAATGAGTCTTGGCTAGGTGTAGTGTCACACACCTGTAATCCCAAGCACTCTGGAGACTGAGGCAGGAGGGAGGATAGCTGTGAGTGCGAGGCCTGCCTGAACTACACAGTGAGACTTTGTCTTAAAAAAACAAAACAGGGCCAGGGATATAGCTCAGTGGTACAAGAGCTTGTCTGCCTGCGAGCATGAGGTCGTGAGTTTGATCCCTAGTACAAAACATACACACAGCTCTCCAATGAGTCTTGTGGCTTGTGTTCCTATTCCCAATATCTGTCAAATCCATTCTTCACACATGCTTCAAAATGTAAGCTGGTGAGGTTGCTCAGGGGTAGAGTACAAGTTTGGTAAAGCCCTAAGTTTGCTCCCAATACAACAATAAACTAATAAAATATAGACCACAAACCAATTCTCCCTCAGTGACTCATTGTGTTTAGAATAAAATCCAAGCTCCTGCACTGGTGCACATTTGGAGTGTGTGTGTATTACTAGGGATTATATCCAGAGAGTAGAGCCTTTTGCCTTGCCTTTTTTTTTTTTTTTTAAGGTCTTTCTTTTCAAATTCATTTTATTTCAGAGAAAGAGAAGGAGGGAGGGAGGGAGGCAGGGAAGGATAGGGAATCGGGGAGGGAGGGAGGGGGAGAGAGAGAGAAAACAAGGTCTTACTATGTAGTCAGGCTTTCCTTCAATTTGGTACCTTCTTGTCTCAGCCTCCAGAGTGCTGTGATTATAGGCATACACCACCACGCCTGGCTGTCCTTTATAAAAACTTTTTTTTGTACTGGGGATCAAATTCACAACACCGTGTTTGAAAGGCAGGCACTTATGCCACTGAGCTAAATCCCCGGCCCGCCCTTTTTAAATTGTGAGACAGAATCTCACTGGGTTGCCCAGACTGGTCTTGAACTTGTGATTCTTCTGCCTCAGCCTCTCCAGTAGTTAAGATTACAAGCACATGCCAAACTCTTTATTAAAGAGTATGGATTATATCTCATGGTGGCCACTGATGGTAAATGCATTGTATCTCCATAAAGCTTATATTAAAAAGCAACCCAAACCAGGTATAGTATTATATACCTGTAACTTCAGCACTTGAAAGATCAATGGAATGCTCTAAGTTTGAGGCCAGCCTGGGCTACACAGTGAGATCACTACAAGCGTGAACTACATAGCAAAGACCCTGTCTCAAAAGATCCAAAAAATAATAATCCAAACTTCTCCCAGTGACCCACAAAGCTTGCATGATCTGGCCCCACCCACTTCTAAACCCATCTGATTTGTCTCACTCTCCTTTAGCCACATCAGCCTGATTGTACTCTGAACATCCCATGATTGTTTTTGTTTTCCATCAATAGCTCATGACAATAAAAACTTAATTTTTACTCTAACAACAATATCTGACACTTAGGTAAGTTATTAAGAAATACCTTGTCGAGCCGGGTGTGGTGGCTCACATCTGTAATCCCAGCACTCGGGAGGCTGAGGCAGGAGGATTGTTGCGAGTTCGAGACTAGCCTGGGCTACAAACTGAGCTCAAGGTCAGCCTGAACTCCATAGCGAGACCCTGTCTCAAAAATCAGACAAAAAAAAAAAAAGAAAGAAATACCTTGTCGCATTTCATTTAAGCATTTGTTTAGTTTTTAAGTTTCTCAATGCTTTCAGTGGAAAGCAAGTTTTGTACTCATATTCATTTCATAAATAAAAATAAATTGCTATTACTTTTTGGCCTCTGCACTGAAAGTTAAATGAGCTAAATGTGCTCTAAGATTTCTTGGTGCTCTAAAACTTCTAAAAGGATGGACTTTGGTGTAACTGGAATGGGTACTACCCTGGCCAATAACTAAGCAGCTCATTGAGGAACAGTGTCCTCAATGCTATTTATCAAAATCTGACTGGAACCTGGGTGGTGATTCATGCTTGTAATCTCAGTACTCAGGAGGCTGAGGCAGGAGGATCGTTGCAAGTTTGAAATCAGCCTGGGCTACAAAGTGAGCTCACGGCCAGCCTGAATTGCACAGCAAGACCTAGTCTTTTTTTTTTTTTTTGTCTTTTTCCTTTTTATCGGTACCGGGGAATTGAACTCACGACTGCCTGCTTGCAAGGCAGGCACTTATGCCACTGAGCTAAATCCCCAGCCCCAGCAAGACCTAGACTTAAAAACATAAAAAGGAAAAAAAATTTATTGGAACCGAGCACGGTAGCACACGCCTGTAATTCTAGTACTCCAGAGGCTGAGACTAGAGGATCGCCTGAAGTTCAAAGCCTGCCTTGACTCCCTATCAAGCTGAAGACCAGGCTGAACTACATAGAAGACCCTGTCTCAATGAAACAAAACAAAACAAAACTTTCCTGGAATTTCCAGGGCATCCTTCAACTGATATTGGCTCAGCAATCCAACTGGAATCCCCTCAGCAATGACCTCACTGCTCTGCCCTCGCTAAGTTAACATCAGTCCTCCACTTGGCTGGTGCAACAACTTCCTCTCTGCTCCCAGCCCTCCTCAGCTCTGCATGCCAGCCCTGCCTGCCCCTCCAAACACAGTTCCGATCACACCATGTATCTTAGTTACTTTTCTTTCATTGCCGAGACAAAATACCTCGGCCTTCGCCTTGCCTGTACATTCCTATGTGACCCACGGCATTTATCCATCTCTATCTGTTGGATCACTTGTCTCTATGTTCCAGGAGGGCACTTAATCCAATCACCGTGTCAGTTCTAAAAACTGTTACTGACAACGTCAGAAAAGGGACATTCTCCCACCAAGTTTCTAAGCTATTAGGATTTAAGTGTGGAGGTAGAAGCAAGCCTGCTTGAGTGAAGCCAAATGCATGGGTTATGCAGAACCAGAGATCATGAACCACGGGTTCCTGATACCTTTTTGGTCCTGTATTCGGTGGATACTTATCCACTGCGGACTTTTCAATTACTTGTGTCACAGATTTTCTTACTGTTTAGGCTAGCCAGAGCTGGATCAATGACAGATTGGGTTGCTAGAGGCTCTTTGGGCACATGATTTCAGGTACCCTCTATACTAACGGTTTTTAGTTCCTAAAATTCGCCTCGAGTTCCAAGTTGTAAGTCTACGTACCTCTGAGGTGCCACAAGCACATGTAAAACTGACCTCATAATTTTTGCACCCCCCCCCCCGACTTCCCGTTAGAGATGGAATCCCCTCCACCGCCTGCCCCTTTCCTCAGCGAAGCCAAGGTCTTAGATTCAGGCATCACCTCCTCAAGGGTCTTCCCCAAGGTAACCCCCCTTCTTTCCTCTCCCGGCTTCTTGGGAGCTGTGTCCACGTCCCTCTCTGTCGCAGGGCCAGGCGCTCTAGGCAGCAAGCTGGTCCTTCTCAGAACCTTGTCATCTTGTTGGTTTCCGGTACTCGACGGCCACTCTATCCTTCAAAAAGGACTAGGGACTCTATCCTGTAAAGTGAATTCACTATGGTTGGCGTCTTTCCTTTGTCCAGAATTTCTTCCGAGAGGACGTCCTGGTGGGATTCAACTCCTCTCCACCACTGCCTTTAGCCCCTTTGGGTGCACTAGGAGAAATCACTGACGCCTAGGAGATTTATCTTCCTTTTAGTCCCTGAGCGGTCTGCGCAGAGTTGGAGCACGGCGGAAGTGAGTACGAAAATGCCCTTCCCTCCCGTCGCTCTCCTCTATGGTCGCTTCCCTCGGCGACAGGAAAAGAAGTCCGCGCGCCTGCGCAGAACCGGGCTGGGAGCTCGTCGCGGAGGGGGAGGGGCGCAGGGAGCGGGAGCCGCCGCTGCTGTCGGAGCTAACCGCGGGGACCGAGATGCAGGTGGGACCGGAACCGGAACCCCCCTCTTCAAGTGCCTCTTCCCTCTCCGCGACCCGGCCCGGCGCCTGAGAGGAGCCCAGGGTGGGGGTGGGCGTGGGGCCCCAGGGCAGGAGGGGCACTTGGCCCTGCAGAGTGCAGCGCACAGGACTGGTCCTCAGGAGGCTGTGGCCCCGAGAAGTGGGCGCTTGTGGGGGTGTCCCGCAAGTAGAGTCAGTTCAGAGTGGATTGACCACGCGGCCCAGAGGGTCCGATCCAGGAGAGGAGACTGCACCCTCCACCACCCGTCCTTCGGGAAATGTCAGAACCGAGCCAAGAGGCAGGTGCACCGGGAAAATGTATCTGAGTCCTACTGGGTAGAAGAGAAACTGAGTCACCAGCTCAGGAGCTGCAGGGTCAACGGGCTTGGAGGGGGTTGGGTTTGCCATTGGTGCAGAGGGCTGGGTGGTCATTGTGAGCCGAGGTGGCCTCTGGCTGGGGATCCGTCCCTACTGTGTCTGCACCTCTTGGCTCGGTTCCCCTCTGCTCCATGACTCCCGCATCTCCTGGCTGCATCTTGTGGGTTTGGAATTGTCCCTAGGGTTGGGGTTGGGAACATCTGAGTATGTAGGGCTGAGGCCAAGAAAGGGAGGGGTCGATGATTACAGCTTGGCTGCGGTTTGAGTAGATGGCTTGGAGAGACTTTCTTGAGCTACTTCTCCCCAGACTGGGGCCTTGGCCCTCCAGGATAGCATAGGCAGGAATACTAACTAAAAAGCCATGGGTTGTAAATTCCACACCTGGCTGTCTCTAGTCGTGAAACTTTAGGAAGCCTTTCCTTCTCTAATTGCTCTTTTAGAACACTGGAACTCTTAATACTGACCTTCCCCATAAAGATAGTAATAATGGCAGTCATTTCTCCTGTGCTTACTTTGTGTCAAGCACTGACATGTACCATTCCATTTCATTCTCCCAGCAACTAGAGGGGGTAGGGATCATTAGTTCTGTTTTATAGATGGGAAAACTGGGGTTCAAAAGACAATGTGTGATCTTTCAAAATCAAAGCTGATAAGTGGCTGAGCTGTAGTTTCAGCCCAAGTCTCACTCCAGAACCTGCCTTTAACCACTGTGCTAACTAGCCTTTAGGATGCATTGCCCAGAGACAGAAAAAGGAGGAGGAAAATCGTCAGCTCCCTGTGATTATTTGTCATGACAGCAAAGATTGCCCTGACCCAACCCATCATCTTTTTGCCTCTTGTGCTGCTGCTGCTACTGGGCCTCAAACTAAAAGGGGCACCCACGAAATGGGCTGTGACCATTCCAAGTCTCCTTTACACAGTGCTTGGGTGCTGGGCTTTGTAGTCAGCTTCTAAGACAGTTGCTCCTTGTGCCCATCTTCCATCCATTGGCCTGAATGAGTAGGGTGCAGGAGGCCGAGTCTAACTCTAGTCCTAGCATGCTTCTGGCCCCGTAAGAGTTGGAGCAGTGAGGAGGTGTGGCTGAGACTGGCCCAGCCAGTGCTTCTGAACAAGAACTATACAGTGGGAAAAAGAATAGACTGGGAGCTCCAAAACTTGTTGACCTTCAGTTTGCTCATCTGTTAGAAAAGTTATTAAATCCTCTCATTAGGAAAGGTAAGACGACCCCATGGAAGCCCCTTGAGTGGCACAAGGGGAAGTATGTGATAGACAGTCAAAGAGAGGCTTAGAGAAGGGATGATGGAATCTGGAAAAGAGTCCTCTGAGGAAGGGGCCCCCAGAACATCTTGTTCCCAGAGAGTAAAAGTTGAAAAAATGGCAAGAGAGATGCAGGCAGGCTAGTCACGGGTACCTTTCTGAGGTTTGTGGATCTGGGAGTGGGAAAGGAGGCAGTTTGGTTCTCTTGCTCTCTGAGGTCTTAACCAAAAATAGGGAGTCCCTGGGGGTGGGATGTGCGCCCAGTCCCACCTCTGCAGTGACTGTCTGTACCTCTGTCTTCCTCCTGCAGCTGCTGCCGCTCACCCCGTATCTTCTGGCCGCTTCCCTCTTTGCCGCCCCTCCCCACAGGCTCTCCCTGTCCATCTCCTGGGGCCCATCATGAATGGTACCCCTTCCCCAGAGGATGGGGCCGCCTCCTCCCCACCTCCCCTGCCACCGCCCCCTCCCCCAAGTTGGCGAGAGTTCTGTGAGTCCCACGCCAGGGCTGCTGCCTTGGATTTTGCCCGTCGCTTTCGCCTCTACCTGGCCTCTCACCCCCAGTACGCAGGGCCTGGGGCTGAGGCCGCCTTCTCCCGCCGGTTTGCTGAGCTCTTCCTGCAGCACTTTGAAGCTGAGGTGGCCCGGGCCTCTGGCTCCCTCTCACCATCCGTCCTGACTCCCCTGAGTCCTGGTGTGGAGATCCCAACATCATACGACTTATCCCTTGAGAGCTGCAGGGTGGGTGGGCCCCTGGCTGTGCTGGGCCCTTCTCGATCATCTGAGGACCTGGCCGGCCCCCTCCCTTCCTCAGTCTCTTCCTCAACGACCTCGAAACCGAAGCTCAAGAAACGCTTCTCCCTCCGCTCAGTGGGCCGCTCTGTCCGAGGTTCAGTCCGTGGCATCTTGCAGTGGCGAGGGGCCGTTGACCCTCCATCCCCAGCCGGGCCCCTGGAGACCTCATCAAGCCCCCCAGTCCTAGGTGGAAACAGCAACTCCAACTCCTCTGGTGGGGCTGGGACTATTGGTAGGGGACTGGTTAGTGACGGCACATCTCCTGGGGAGAGATGGACTCACCGTTTTGAAAAGCTGAGACTAAGTCGGGGTGGGGGAACCTTGAAGGATGGATCAGGGATGGTGCAGAGAGAAGAGCTGCTGAGTTTTATGGGAGCTGAAGAGGCTGCCCCTGACCCAGCTGGAGTGGGCCGGGGAGGAGGGGCAGCTGGACTGGCCTCAGGGGGAGGAGGGCAGCCTCAGTGGCAGAAGTGTCGCTTACTGCTGCGAAGTGAAGGAGAAGGAGGAGGAGGAAGCCGCCTGGAGTTCTTTGTGCCCCCCAAGGTGAGGCGAAGAGGAGGGTGAGTGGCTGGGAATTGGTGATGGATTGGCCAGAGTAGTCACTTAGTCCTGCAGACCAGCCATGGGGTTTGGCCCCCCCACCCCCCAATAGCCTGGCTGGTTTTTTGATTTTAGATCTAGTTCTGGGCTCTTGGATTAGCTGTGAGTAGGACTGAGGTCAGTATTACTGCCGTCTGTCCAACTCCCCTGGGATGCAGAGTGGTGAGTGAGGGGAAGGGAGAGATGTTTCCATACACCAACAAACCAGAGCTTATTCCTGCTCCCACGGAGGCGTCCCGGCCGCGGCTCAGCATTCCCTGCTCTACTATCACGGATGTTCGGACAACCACAGCCCTGGAGATGCCTGACCGGGAGAACACGTTTGTGGTTAAGGTAGGGGTGCTGAGCCCAAAGCCCATGGAGGGCCTGTGCTCTGGAGGGATGTTCAGCACACATAAGATGGCAGAGGGTGGCACCTATGTGTTGGGTGCCTGAGAGTGTGTCTTCTGGCCCCATAGGTGGAAGGCCCCTCCGAGTATATCCTGGAGACAGCTGATGCTATCCATGTGAAGGCCTGGGTGTCTGACATCCAAGAATGCCTGAGCCCAGGGTGAGGAGCCTGCCTGCTGATACTGAGGGGCCTGGGGGCAGGGTGGGAGCAGCCTGGAGCCTGTCCTCATGTAACTTTCTCCCCAGCACCGTCTGCTTTGTCTCTGCAGACCCTGTCCTGCTGCCAGCCCTCGCCCCATGACCCTCCCCCTGGCCCCTGGGACCTCCTTCCTCACAAAAGACAATGCGGATGGCCTGGAGCCACCATGCCTGAATCATTCAGAGAGTCTGCCCAGCCAGGACCTGCTGCTGGGGCCCAGTGAGAGCAATGACCGCCTATCGCAGGGTAAGGTGGTGCCTTGGAGAATCGGAAGCCCCAGAGCCCGCCATGGATGGCTCTTGCTGTCGGGCCACCTGTTCCTGCTGCTTGTCTTTTTGTGTCCGAACGTGCCAGTCAATCTTAGATCACTGCTTGCCTTTCAAAATTTAGATAAGTAATTAATTTTATGGTGCTCAGGGTTGCACCACAAACTCACACTGAGCAACATTCTTAGCCCCAGTTTGCCATTTAGGTCCCAGCAAACTCCTCTCCAGCCTTCTTGCCTGGCTTTAACACTTTTTCCATGTGTCCTTCAGGCCACCACTGGCTGGAGATAATGTTTCTTTTCTCCAAGCATTCAGAGCATTTTGGAGACATCTTTGTTTTGTTCTAACTCTGCATCTCTGCTCATGTCAAGGGCATCAAATTTTCTTTAGCTAAATTTGTACTTTTTCAGCTGACCAAACATACAATACACGTGAATGTCTGGCCCAGCTTTCTAGATTTGACTTCCACTCTGCTCTTTTCTCCTAATCTGAGTTTTATCCTCAGCCTAGCACACAGGGTATACACTGTGAGTGGAGAAAGGAATCTTGGACTCCTGAGAAGTAGAATGGAGCTTACAAGTCATCAGATTTCAGGCAGCTCAGACCAGAGAGAGGAAGAGGTTTTTCTGTGGTCACCTGAGTCACTGAGAAACTTGGTCTGTGCCATCCTGCTTCCTGAGCTGCTGTCCTCCATGCATCCTTTTTTTTGTTTGGTACCCGGAAACAAACTCACGACCTCACGCTTGTCAGGCAGGCGCTTGGCCACTGAAGTAAACCCACAGCTCTCCATGCATCTTTTGAACCCTGTCAACATTCATGTAGGCTTGCTGCCTGGCAGATGACCAGGCAGGCCCCAGTGTGTCACTGGCCCAGTGCTGGGCCTGGGACAGGATGGGGGACTCAAATGCCTGAGATGGGATCCTGGCCCTTGGTGGGCTCAGTCTAGCTGGGTTGGCAAGACATCATTCCCAGCAAGAAGCAGGTCCCCCAGATGGAGACTCTGTGTTTAGTGTCCTCCGAGCAGCACAGCAGGAAGTGCCTTGAGAGTTCTGGAGGAAGAGAACAGGGGAAGGTGGAATAGAGCGCTGCAGAGGAGGTAAGAGAAAAGAACATGGGTCAAAGAAGGCACAAGGGCAGCACAGGCCGGAAGTGGGGAAGACTCAGATCCTTGGGAAAACTGAGTAAGATAAATGCACTAGAGTGAAAAATAGATAGATACAAGTTAAAGTAAAGAGCAAGTTGGTTTAGATTAGGGGGATTTAGAGGATTTCTTGTTTTTTTAATTGCCTCTTAGAATTGGAAGCTTTTAAATCCTGCATGGCACATATCTGTAATCCCAGCACTCTGGAGGCTGAGGCAGGAAGATCATAAGGAGGCATTCAGGGTCAACCTGAACTATATAGTGAGATCCTGTCTCAGAAAACAAGCAAACTAACAACTGAAAGTTGGCAGCTTTGTCCTGTCTCCCAGTGGAAGTCAGTCTCTGTCTCTGTCTCTGTCTCTGTCTCTGTCATTTTTTATGGTGGGGTACTAAAAAGTTAGACCCCAAGCCTTGGCACTGATATACATCCCGAGCCCTTTGTATTTTCTGTGACGAGTGTCTTGCTAAATTCCCCAGGCCGGGCTCATACTTGGCATCTCAGCTGCTTGAGTAGCTGCAATTATAGGGATATGCCACTACTCTTGACTCTTTTAATATGAGAATATTGAGGGATTCTACTCCTTCCTCAACTCTGATAGTTTTTTAGCTGTTGATTCCTAAAAGATATAGGCATATCTGGATTCTAGGATGCACAGTAACCACAGTGTAAGAGGTGTCAGTTGGGGTCTTTGGTAAAACTGTCAGATCACTGTCTTCCTAGGTGTCCAGGGTCTGCTGGTGGGAGATGGACAGGAGCCCAAGGCCTTAGATAAGGAACTCGAGTTTTCAACTTGGCTCTCCATTTCTTTCCAGGGGCGTATGGGGGCCTGTCAGACCGGCCCTCCGCATCCATCTCCCCCAGTTCAGCTTCTGTTGCCGCCTCCCATTTTGACTCAATGGAACTGCTTCCCCCAGAGTTGCCCCCGCGCATTCCCATTGAGGAGGGGCCCCCAGCAGGGACAGTTCATCCTCTCTCCACCCCCTATCCTCCTCTGGACACTCCGGAAACAACCCCAGGTACCAGCAGCATGCACATCTGTCTCCAGGCCAGCAGCCCATCTCTGAGGCTCTTGTCTGGGGATCTGACCTGGGGGAAGGAGTGAAACAGGATGCTAGGAGGCACCTGATGCAGGAAAAGGAAGACTTCTTTTTTCCCAGGACATGGGAGGCCTCCATGACACCTTGGTTTCCCTCCTTCTCTCCTTCCTGAAGGGTCATTCCTGTTCCAGGAGTCAGAGGGAGGAGAAGGGGACCAGCCCCTCTCAGGATACCCTTGGTTCCACGGGATGCTCTCACGACTCAAGGCCGCCCAGTTAGTGCTGGAAGGAGGCACCAACTCCCATGGTGTCTTTCTGGTTCGACAGAGTGAGACGAGGCGGGGTGAATATGTCCTCACTTTCAATTTCCAGGGCAAGGCCAAGGTGAGCAAGCCTGGGGGTGCAGAGGGCTGGGTGCTGCCTCCATGGAGGTTGTAACTGGCAGAGCCTGAGGCCCTTGCCTCATATGTTACCCCACCCTCAGCACCTGCGCTTGTCACTGAATGAGGAGGGTCAGTGCCGGGTCCAGCACCTGTGGTTCCAGTCCATTTTTGATATGCTCGAGCATTTCCGGGTGCACCCCATCCCTCTGGAGTCTGGAGGCTCCAGTGACGTTGTCCTTGTCAGCTATGTGCCCTCCCAACGGCAGCAGGGTGAGCAGAGCAGGTCTGCAGGGGAGGTGCCCGTGCACCCGAGAAGTGAGGTGTGTGTGCCAGAAAGACGGGGTGGGAGGGCTGTGAGGAGAGGCTGTGAGGGGCGTGCAAGGCAGCCCAGGCCGCTTTCATGAGTGTCTGCAGGGGGTGGGGCTGCACGGGACCTGTAAGGCTGCTAGGACGTAGGCAGGCAGAGGCTCCTTGCTGGGCCGGGAGGCAGTGGAGAGCTGGGTGAACGCATCCCCATTCCATTGGATCCTCTGTCTGTGCCATCATCCATGTGTCCCCGACTCCATCCTCCCTGGCTTGTCTTTGCCCTTTGTCACCACCTTGCCTTGGGCCTGCCCTTCTGGGGGATGCTTGGTCTGGTCCCCCACCCTCCTCCCTCCATGTCTGATGTCCCTGTCTGATCTTTCCCTTTCCTCCACCCCAACACCCCATCTGTCCCCACGTTGCCCCTACCCCCCAGGCCGGGAGCAGGCTGGGAGCCATGCAGGGGTGTGCGAGGGAGATCGATGCTTCCCCGATGCCTCCTCCACCCTCATGCCCTTCGGAGCGAGTGACTGTGTGTAAGTGTGGTCCTCCTCTCACCGCCGCCCATGATCCATCTTCCATGGAGGGGGTTGCTCAGGAAACGGGATGTGGGGGAGATAGCACATGGCTCCTGGGGGGTTGAGCAAAGGGGAGGCTGCCGCCAGAGCTTGCCGCCCTCCACCATCAGTCTGTCTTTTTACCATTCCTATCCAGAATCGAACACCTCCCGTGACCCACCCCAGCCCCCTGAACCCCCTTCATGGACAGATCCCCCACATCCTGGGGCAGAAGAGGCGTCGGGGGCGTCAGAAGTGGCGGCAGCCGCAGCCGCAACAGCCAAAGAGAGGCAAGAGAAAGAGAAAGCGGGCAGTGGAGGGATCCGGGAAGAGCTGGTCCCCATGGCTGAGCTGGTCCCCGTGGTTGAATTGGAAGAGGCCATAGCGCCAGGCACGGAGGCCCAGGGTGGTGCTGGCTCTGTTGGGGATGCGGGGGCGACTCCAATGGTACAGCTCCAGCAGTTACCACTAGGGGGCAATGGAGAAGAAGGGGGCCATTCCAGAGCCATTAATAACCAGTACTCCTTTGTGTGAGATGCCCTACCCCACCCTCCCGCCCTCTTCTTGCTTCCCAGCCCTGCGTTCCTGAGATGGGGCTGAGGAGGGACACAGAGGAGAGGTGGGCGTTCCCCCCTCCCATGCTTCCTGGCCCTTGCCAGCCAAGGGCACATACCGTATGTTGGTACAGCAGCGATTCCAGGGCCTTGCTAACTCCCTGACTCCTACACTACAGGTGCCCCTTCCCTTAGCAGGGGATTTGGGCTCCATTACCTCCCTGAGGGGCTCTTCCAGCCAGCCCCACCTCTGAGGGCCATTTCTCCCTAAACCACCCCCAGCCCAAGCAAGGCTGAGGGGGAAGGGCTGTCAGTTATATTAAGATTGTTGTTGTTGTTGTTTTAAACAAAATGGAGAAGCATAAATAAATAAAGGGGTTTATCTCAGTTCCCTGGTTATGGCTGTGCTATGCTTGCTGTGGGACTGGGTGGCTCTGTCGACATTGTGGCCCAGCCAGAGCTGAGAGGCCAGTGCTCTGTGCCTCTCCAGTCCTGAGTCCTCAGACCACCATCCTGGGGCCTCTGTGCTTCCGAGGTTGGAGAGTAGAGGTCAGCACTGCTTTGTGGGGTCTTCAGCCATTTCTCCTAATTGCACTGGGCAACAGTAACAGGTTGGTGACTGCCAAGCATTCTTGCTGCTCTGAATTCTTAAGTTAGGCTCCCTCCCTAGGGAGAAAGGTACAGCGATAGTGGGGGTGGGGACACATCTTGCTTTGGGATTTTTTTTTTTTTCTTTGCACTTGGAATTGAACTCAGGACTTTGCACTTGCCAGGGTAGGCGCTGTGCCACTGCCCATATCTCCAGCTTGCTTTGAGGTTTAATATGGTAGTCAGGCTGGCTGTGGAGGGGCCTGAGGACAGACTGACTGCTCTCTCTCAGAGCCAGTCTGGGGACTGGCTGACAAAGAGCACCAATTTCCGCCTGGCTTTGCCTGTTGGTTATATGCTATGTGACCTGGGGAGCCAGTCTGGGAGTTAGTGTCCTCATTTGTAAAATGGTAAGTTTCATCTTAGAGCTACAGAAATGACTTGTTTCCTTGAGTTTCATGTAAATGTCCAGTCCAGATTACTGACCCACTTGAAAGCCAGCTGATCAGCTGGCCGAGTCTAGACTCACATCCACTGTAAACGCAGCCTGTGCTCTTTGAGTTTCCTGCCCACACCTGGGCCATGCCATCCTCAAACAAGGCAAGCTTGTTTCTGGATCTGGGATAGCAGGTGCCAACAAAGATGGCCGGGGTCTGAAGAGTCCCACTATGTGCTCAGCTCCTTGCCTCCCACCCTTGCTCTCACTACCGCTAGCCAGAGCGGAACTGCCACCCTCCTGCCCCTCAGCCTCTGCCCCTACTCCAGGAGGCCCTACCCACGCTCATGACCTTGCTATTCTGGGCCTTGCGTCCTGCGGGGAGATGGACAGGAGACAGCTGGGTGCACTGGCCACCCAGGCTGAGGGCTGGCTGGGGAAGCCTGTTGGCTCTCCCTGTAGTGTCTCATCCCTGGGGCTCCCCCAAAACTTGACCTCAGGAAACTGGGGATGGAATCAGCCCTGCAAAGGGGGTTGGTGCTTTGGAGACCTGGGTGCTGTGTTCTCAAAGTGAGGTGACCAGCAAGGGCTCTGGTGCCCAGGGTAGGCAGGGGCTGATCCTCTCCTAATCTAGTGGCAGCTGGTGCTAAGGCTCCCCCCTTCCCCAAACACTGCTGGCTTTCAATTACTTGGCTTCCAGAGATGGGGAGGGGACAAGCATGAAGATACCCTCCCACTCCCCAGACTGACTTTCAGAGACTGGAGACAGTTTCCCTCCAAGGGTTTGTTTACAGATGGTGAAACCAAATTGGTCATCGATGCACCAGGTCCTACCTACATATCCTTTACAGTTAGGACTCTCCAGTCCCTCCCCTCCAGCCCACAGGTTGGTAATAAAAATGCTGTCAGCCCTGCGTAAAGAGACCCCCAGTGGGAACGGCTCTTAGGAAGCACCTTAGAGCCACCTGCTCACATTCTTCTGCAATGGGAGCCCTCTCTGCCCTCTGAGTTTAGTCTGCCCCTCTGGGAAGCTGGAGGTGGAGAAATGAATAACCTCAAAGGGCCCCGCTGGCAGGAGTGTCCTGTAAAGCCTGCTTCCTTCTCTCCTCTCATGCTCAACTCCCTGAAGCTGCCCATCTTCGTCTCTCCCTCCATGTTTGGGCATTCCTGCTGCTGTAAGACAGTGGCCCTGTCACTCCTCCAGGTGCCACTGGGGAGAAGCCAGCCAGCACCAAAAGGCTCAGAGGTGCTGAGCCTGACTCTCGGCTGAGGTGGGTGCTGGGCCACGTGGAGGAGCCTGGTGATAGGACCCCCAACATAGCCCATTGTCTGAGAACCCCTCCCCCAGGTCATAGCAGGACTCTGCTTCAGGGGAGGCATTTGTTGAAACTAGGAAAAGGGGGAGGGAAGGAGCACCTTGTCCTCAGCTCACCCAGAAGGCTGTCTGTCTCTTGCCCAAGTGCAAGCACAAGGCAAGTCTGGGAGGCCAAATCCTTAAAACTCCATCCCCTTCCCCGCAAAAGCTGGGCTTCTCTTTCCTCTGTGTCTGCCACCTTCGGTGCTGTTCTCTGCCTGGGGGCCCAAGCCCCAGGGTGGGACACAGCCTTAATAACCCTTTCAGGCCAGCATGGTGGCATACCTCTTTAGTCCTAGCTACTTGGGAGGTTGAGGTAGGGTAATCCAATTCCAACTCTGAGCCCAGCTTGGATAATTTAGCAAAACTTAATCTCAAAATAAAAAGCGTTGAGGGTGCTCCGTACTCCCTGCGTTTATTCTCCAATAGCGCCAAATAAATTACTTAAATGAAAGGAGAAAGAGAAAGAAAGAAAGGGGAGAGGAAGAAAAGCCAGCTATCCAGGCACAGGGGTAGTCTAATCCAAGCACTTTGGCAGGCTGAAGCAGGATTCCAAGTTCTAACCTAGCCCGGGAAATTTAGTGACTTAGCAAGACTATCTCAAGATAAAAAATGAAAAAGGAATTGGGAATACAGTTGAGTGCAAAGGCCCTGGGTTCAAGCCCCAGCACCACAAACACGTCATTTTTAAAAAGATTTTTAAGCGGGGCATAGTGATACATGCCTTGAAGGCTGAGGCAGGAGGACTGCCACTAGTGGACTGCATAGGGACTTGAAAACTAACTTGCACTGCAAAGCGAGAAAAACAATTATTTTTTTAAAGGTTGGAGGTATAGCTCAGTGCTAACAGAAGGCTTACCTAGAATGCACAAGGCCCTGTGCTCAGGACTCAGTACCGCAAAAACAAAATAGCCCTCTCAGTCTTCCCTACACCCCTGTTCACTGCAGGAAACTGAGGAAGGACTTGAGCTCAGGGTCAGAAGGCTCCTTACCCTCGCTGACCTCTCACCACTATGCTCAGACCCTCTCCTTTACGATGCTCCCCTGCCTGCATGCCTGCCTGCACCCCATGGTACACTCTTGATTCCTCTAGCAGCTGCCCTGGTAGAAACCAAAAGATGCCCCCATCCCGAAGCAGGGTGGGGAAGGGCAGCTCAGAGCAGCTGCTTCTCTGGGGAAGCTGACACCAAGGCCAGCCGCTTAGCAACAACTTATGGCTTTGCACCCAGTCCTGGGGTCCCTGCCCACCTGGCTACCACTAGCTGGCTCCCTGCTGTCCCTTTTTCTCACTGCTTTTCAGACTTTTCTCTGACCCTGGTGGGCCTGTCTGGGGGCTTGCCCCTCTACTTCTGTGTCCTCATTTCTCCTAGATCTGCCCCTTCCCATCCCTTTGGTCTGGGGACTCTGCTTTATTGAGCTTTCTCAGGAGGCCCCCTCTCCCCTTCCACCTCCTTCAGTGGGGCAGACCCAGTTCTGAGCATACCCTCAGGGCTGGCCCCAGATTCTCCCTTGGGGGTCGCTGCATCAGGACCAGAGAATGAAGACCACACACCTCTGGGGTCCACCACACAAACCCCTTAGTTAAAAAGGAAGCGTGGTGTGAAATGAGGTGACCCTCATGCCATGGCTTGGGGTGACCCCCTGCCCCCATCTTGAAACAGTTATTCCCTCGCCCTCTGCCATCAGCACATTCTGTAGCCTCTTGGGTTACCTGGCTGCCTGGGTGTCCCATTTTCTTGGGGGGGGGATTCCCTGTCAGGAATGGTGGAGGGGCTGAAGACTATGTTCCCAGAGGCTGAGCTAGAACGATAGGGAGGGGGCAGTTTAGGGGAGAGCCAGGAAGTCCTGGCTTTGATCACCAGGGCCTGGACACTAAATCCCTTGTTGATGGCTATAGCAACCCCTCCCTAGGGTAGGGTTACCATCTTCTGCCCTGTCCCCTTGGCCCTCTCCCCTCCCCACTTCCCTTGTCCTTCTAGAGCCACTTCCTCTGGTCCTCAAAAGATGTTCTCCCTGACTTCAGTCTCCTAAAAGCATGGAGTATCTCTGTTGCTCTTCCAGCACAGCACGTGAGGGAGGAAACTGTGGCAATGGAAACAGGCTCAGGGTAGAAGAGGGTGTGAGGGAAATGAAAGGAGAGGCCCCAGAGTGGAAAGGGGCTGAGGGAAAGAATTGTGGAGATGAGTTTGGAATGGGAAATTCAGTGCAATGTGGGAAGTCTGGGCAACTGAAGGAGGGGTCAGAAGCAGATGACAGAAAGTGAATTTTCTACCCCCCCCCCCAGCCACCTTTGCTTCCCTCATGAGTGACATCTCAGGCTGCAGCCCCACTGTTCCCCTCTGTCAGCAGAAATATCTCTCTCTTCTGATCCCTCCTGCTGTAGTCTCAGCCAGCCAATCCCTGATCTGGGGGAGGGGGAGCTTGTCCCCCCCACTCCCTCATAAGGACCAGCTGGGGGCTGTGGGGTGGCCGGCTGCTGCAAGTGGGACGGGTTCAGAGCTCTGTGGAGGGAAGAGAAATCTGGGGGGGGCGGTCAGGTGAGAAAAAGGGAAGAAACCCAGAACAACGGGCAGGTGGACACACTAAGGAAGGCCCCCCACAAGTGAGAGCCCGGCCGGAAAGAACTCACCGCCCCTGGCCCCCAAGAAGGGAGCATAATGGAGGCTGCACACTCCAAGACCACAGAGGAATGTTTGGCCTATTTTGGGGTGAGTGAGACCACAGGCCTCACCCCGGACCAAGTTAAGCGACATCTGGAGAAATATGGCCCCAATGGTAAGTGTCCCTCAGAGAGGCTGGTACCCCTTTCCTGAACATACACACATGCATACACACCACACACACACTCTCCCTCCTGGTTATCTTAGAGTCCTGGTCCATGGTTGCTGGAGGGAGAAGATACTGAGATCTTTGGGTCGCTGAGATTCCTAGTCTGGGGAGGTTTTAGGGGTTGACTTTGATGAACCTGATTCTCTTACCTTAGCCAGAGTCCTGGGGGTGGGGGAGCAT